TGGATCAAGGTTTTACATGACTGCTTTCTTGCTAAAAGATAAGATATAGATAAGGAAAATATTGCTTCATTGGAATTTCCCTGGTTCACTATTACTTATTTACACTACACTCAGTATAAAATGGAAATATTTGGGTTACTTTTGAAAGATTTAGTTTTAAATAAATCAGTAAAATAAGATATAACTTTGAAGCTGCCATTCTAATATCTTTAAGGCAAAATTTGTCAATATGTATATTGCTCCCTATGCAAATTCTAAAAATAGATTTTAATATTTTTGAGTGGGCCGATCCTGGATCTTGAACTCAGGGCTTAGGCCCTGTCCTTGAACTTTTTTGTTCAAAGCTAGTCCTGTATCACTTAAGCCATAGCTCCACTTCTAACTTTTTGGTAATTAATTGGAGATATGAGTCTACTGCACTTTCCTGACAGGGCTGGTTTTGAACTGAGCTGCTCAGATCTCAGCCTTCTGAGTAGCTAGGATTACAGGCGTGAGCCACTGGCACTCAGCAATTTTTAAACATAGGATGAGTCAGCTCATTAATCTTATATATAATTTATGCATAATAATATGCATAAAACAGTTGTGGAAAAAATTTAAAGGACAAGCTAAATTATCATTATCCTCTTAATAATTCTATTCTGAATCAAAACATTTTTAAGCTGTGCTTTTATTCAAAGACCTTACATTTATCTATAAATTGTATTACTTTATGTCCTATTGTCAATGATCCCTCCAAATCCATGGATATAATTATAAAGAATAAAAAATCTAACAATATCATGGTATTTGATTCTAATAGCACTTGCACAATCTGTGCAAAATTATACATTAATTAAAATGAATTTTAATTTTGTTATCCATATTATTATATTTTTCATATGAAAATCTAAATATTTCAGTGTTGTGGTCTCAAAGAAAAGAACATGAGACCGAAATTTTCATGTTCAAACACTTTACTTGACACATAGGCCAAGTAATGGCATATGAAGCATCATTCAACCCAGAGCCAACTGAGTAATTGAGAAAGATCTCATTTTGTCACCATAGTTCTCATGATCCCAGTTTTCTAATTAGCACTATCTCAAACATAAAATTCATTCTTCCTTATTTGCCTACCATTTTGTATTGTATGTATGTATAGAAAGATCAACAAAGCCATTTCCAGACTCCAGTGAGTAAAATACATTCCGACTATTGCCTAAGTAAAAGTTAAGTATCCTATAGTCTCTTGAAGATTTGTACGGCCATAAAACTAAATTCTAGCCAACCATAAATAAACTTAAAATTACAAAGCATAAAGGTCTGTTTGTGAAAATAAAGAGTGTTAAGACCATGATCATTATGGGGAGTGACTTGAGCCTTGGATCACTTAGAATAATGCTGTCCTGTATAGTAATAACATGAAAAAGGATTCTACATAGTAGTTGGGAAAGTACCCCAAAAATTGAAGTGTCAAAACCTTTGTCTCTTATTCCAGGTGCATGGAAAGCATATGTAGCATGGGGCCTCCAGCAGCTACCTAAAATTATGACATCAAAGTCCATATCCTAGAGATAGAAGTAGAGAAATGCAAATTTGGGGTCTTTGATGACTTCCAATGTACAAATTTTACTGCCTACTTAAAAGCATCTTTTGCATAAGGAAAAAAGTTTTTTCATATGATTTTTTAGTTTAAACTATATACATCCTGAATTAAATTAAAATATCTGCGAAGAGAAATTATATGTCAACATGATCCAGAGTATCTACTTCAATAGTGCCAATTTTAGAACAATTTATGGATAAATAAGTTATTCACATTCTGTGTCTCTTTTTAAATGATGGCATCCAAGTAGTGCTGAATGTTAAGTATCTGCATCTTTAAATTTGTTTTATTACAGCAAGATAGATGACAAATATTACATCATAAAAATGCAAGAAACCATATTATAGAATGCACTCTGAGCCCTTTTTAGTAACCAGAAGTTGGCTTGGTACCAGAATAGAGTGACATGTTGCAACGTGGGTACTGCAAATTTATGGTCCATGAGCCAAATATGGCCCTAAAATCTATTTTACTTGGCTCTTGCTATACATTCTAAAAACATAAGTTTGTGTCCTTAAAGTGAAAAGGCATCTTCAGTCCCCACAAGTCCCATCATTCCCCACTATCTCCAGTACAAATACTCTCTTCCTTTACTTGTTTATGTTTCCTGCCTGGCTGCTGGAAACACTGACATTTACAGTGCCTGGTTGCATTTTCCCTTCTCTCCATTGTCCATCTGGTGTCAAATACAATTCATGCCAAAGATTATTTTCTAAGATTAAGTATGATTTCTCATAACAAGTATAATTAGATGTTAGACTTTATGAATATAAAAGTTATTGTAAATGGTCAAGTACTTTCTCATATAACAAACAAAAGTGGGCCCTTCCAAAACCTGTAACACACACACCACACCACACCACACCACACCACACCACACCACAGAAGGAAAGAGAGAGAGAGAGAGAGAGATGCCTTATAATGTGATTATGTCATCTTGAATCACTGTTTTTTTTTTCTAGGTTCAACTACAATGAAACATAATTTCCTTACTTTCTCTTTTCAGTTTCTCATTAACTAAAAAATTAAATAAATAATAATTACTTCTGAACATTCAATGGAAAGTAGTATTGTTTTGGCACCAAATGCCAGAAACTTTACTTACTTTTATCATTCATACAGGGACCAAGCTTATGTTTTGCATTTCAGATAAAATCACAGTCAAAAGAAAGGAAAATATACATTAAAGTCATAAAAGGAAAAACATAATATACATTACATACAATGACAGATTTCTACATTTTCAAAAGAACATTTTTTCACACAAAGGAAACATTACAGTCTGTGAGTTATAGCTTTAAAAAAATACTTGCTTGGCATTTGTACCTTAGCTATTTCTTTACTTTAAAGCATCTATCTAGTTTACTTTTCTCAAATACCAAACCACATAGAATTTCTCAATTCTAACACTTCTTTGAGCTTGTGATATTCCAGAGTAGGGGTAATAAAGTATTCCAAGTTTCCATGCAATATGAATGTAAACCAGAAGTAAGTAGACTATAAGTTAGAAAGCTCTGAATGCACTAAATATCTGGAATTCTTGATTGTATTATCCTTAATTTAGGCCATAAAGTCTTATTGCTATTGATTTTTTATCACACACATTCTCTTATATAGATGAATTTTTTGAGAAATTTATTATTTATAATACTTGTGCAGGAAATTATACTTTCAAAAACCTGAAGTATGGGATTCTGGCTTCTGTGCTGCTTAATATCCTGGGGGAGAAGGGCTTGTTCAGAGATGGAGAATACAACATCCCATTCCTGATGTTTATATAAGTCAATATCAAAGAAAAGTAAACTCTTCTTGTTTTTTCAGAAATATCTAGAGTATAATAGAGTCAATTTTTAAAAATCTCAATATATGGCCTATCCTATAAACCTTTTGAAATATTTCTTTAACTTATTAATATAATCCAATTATTTCCCTAGTTTAAAAATATAAGTCATAAGTTATAAATTGAGAAAAATGGTATTGAAAGTTTTCAAGTTGGCACTGTGAGTAGGGGAGGAATGTAAATTCTCTGTATTATAATTGTCTGTCATTGTTCACCTTTTTCCTAACTTCTAATTCCTGTTCCATTATCTTCCCCACTTTTCAAACAATACCTACTTTCCATGCCATTATAAGGAAACTCAAGAGACTTTACCTCTTATAAATTGTCTCATTTTCTAAAAACCAAAAAATAACAAAAAGTTGCAAGATTTTAGAAAGTGCTCCCTCTATGGGACTCCTAAAGATTCTTAAGCATTCATCTCCAGATTCTTATTTTCACTCTTTAAAAGTTTTTAGAATCTTACAAATATCTTCATTGAAAAAAATACAAAGACTGGGTTAAATATGCATATATATGTATGTATAGATAAAGAGATATGGAAGACAATAAAAGTTAGTGAATGTGCTATGCTTTAAAGGCTTGTTACTAAAATATCTATAATGGTTTATTAGTAAAGAGCAGCAGTCTGTATTTGAAATTCCAACCCTCAAGAGTAAGGATTTAAAATCAGTGAAGTCAATTCAAATGGTTCATCTTTAGCAGCTATGCAGTTATACTTAATCATATAGCTCACTAAACTATGCAAATTACATGGAATAAAAATTCAGAAACTAGGCAAGATTTGTCTTAAAAAATGGGAAGACAAAAAAATCCTTGTGTCTAAGGGGAAATGCCCATTAAAATTCTTCATGCTGAAAAAGTTACATCCCCCTCCACCCAACCAGGAACCACCACTGTCCTGATAATCAAGTCAGCAGGGTGGGAAAATACCAATGTTTAAGAAATCTGGCTTCCATCAGCCTCTGTCATGGAGAAATAAACTTGACTCCTTCTCAGTAAGCAAAACATTGCCAAAGAAAACGGTAAAAGAAACAATAGTTAAAGTCTGAGATGAGACAAGAAAGAGGACCCAGAGACAAAGAAAAATCAGAGCTATCAGAGTGGCTGTAGAAGTTTTGCTAAACAAAGAATTTTATGAAGCAGCTGAAGTTCCCGCACAAGAAAGACCCCACCCTAACCCAGCTTCTGCAGACTTTCCTTGCTCTGAAAGCTCCAGCCCACAGAGCAGACCTCATCTAATTAAAAGTGCCTTTCGGGCTCCGTTTTAAGCAGTCCTCTTTACTTTTCAACTTCCCACTCTCACATTCAGGCAAGTACGGATGTTCCACTTTCCCAGAAAGTAGCACTCAAGCCCAGATGTAGAATCTCAGGATTTGCAAACAGCCCGGGTGTGTTAAGGAGCCATTTCCCAGGTGCAAATCCGACAGCCCCTTCTCAAACTTCAAACCAGAGCCTCCTCTTCACGCTCTTCCTGAAACTTAACATTCCACCTAGTTCCCAAACCGTACAGTAAACACCAGAAGCAAAGAAAAAAAAGAAAAAGAAAAAAGGGGGGAAAAAAGGCAAACTCACCATTGTCGCCTTCTTCCTGGGCTGTTATTGAGACAGATTGCCCTAATAAAACAGTGAGAATGAGGAGAGGTCTTGCTTCCACCCAGTTTGCCATCATATCTAAATATTAGACATGTGGCTCCTCCTGGGAGTGAAAAGTAGATTCTAAGGTTATTGTAGCACCATGAAGTCAGCTGGGGGTTCCTCTTTCAGCACCAGCCCCAGGGCAGCCTCTGCAAAGCCCCCTTTTCAGCACCAGCTCCACCACAGTCTGCGGAAACTTTTTTCAAGCGATGCAGCTTTAAATAGGAAGAATGCTGCCTCCACTTCTTTTCCTGCCCCTTTCAGCTTGTTCAGGCTCATAACCATCCAGTGTCTGCCAAGCAACGGTCTGATTGATGGTAAACAACCAAATCAGAACACGAGTCTCTGTGCCTTGAACTTTCCCTATGTCATGTATGTTTCAAGCGTAGATAGAGCTTAAAAACAGACACAAACTTTTATTTCACTTTCTTTTCATTTTTTTAAAAAAGAAATTCTGTTAGAGGGAGAGTCCTATTCTCCCCTCCCTAACCCTTCCCCCAGACACACACCCCTTAACTTTTCCACCATTCAGTTTAGGAAAAGACATTAGGAAGGAAATACAGCCTTTTAGCCTAGTTTTTGGCATTTAGGTTAATTCAGGACTCTCTTCTCCATCTCAATCCCTTGAAAGGTCACATTTTAACCCTTTCTTTTGATCACAAAGAGAAGATTCTGGTCTCAGGTTGTTCTTTTTTTCCCCCAGTACACTGGAGGAAACTGAGGAGACCAGGTAACAATCCAGGTGAGAAAACTATAGTAAGAAAAAGAACTTTTGGTATTTCTTTCCACATCCCTGCTAAGGGACCATATCTACAGATTCCTTTGGGCCCAGAGAGTTTTATATGTAGAGAAATAAGCACACTGCACTTGGATGCACAAAGGTTCTGTTCAACCCTAGATCTGCCACTCACCAATTTTGTAAATATACACATAGTGCTTTATCTCTGTGCACTCCAATTTTCTTGTTTAAAAAAGGGCTTTGCTGTGACTAGTGTATGGGTTTTGGTGACACTAAAATGAGTAATATACTATTAACTAAGCTCCAAATTGCAAAGAGCTACATAAAAGTAGAGGTTGTGGTGTTATTAACCCTACAGGGGATGTGAAAGTCCCAGTTGTGAATGCCTTTAGGAGAAATACTCACGAACTTTATGCCACAGTTTTGTTTGCCAAGCTCTTTAATGAGCTCAATGCATCCAAAATAGTTTATTATATTGATTACCTTTCATACTCTAGAATCAGAATGGATTGTCTGTCTATACAGCAAGGGTGACTAGACAGTTCATAATTATTTAGCACTGATCAGGTACCTTGCACTACTCTACATACTGGAGAGAAAGGATCGCACAAAGAAATAAAAAAACAAGACCATCATCTTTAAGGAATAAATGGAGATGCTGAGAAAATTAATTTACCTGAAACTAAGAAATATAAACCACAATATCAAGATCCACTGTGAGTTTAGACAAAAGGAACTTAAAAGGGAAAATCGTTTAAGTAAGGCATTACTTATTGGAATGAAAGACTTTAAGTTTTAGATTTGCAGCCAAAGTCCCTTGAGAAGTATTCAGGGAAGTGTTCAACTATCCGATCATTTTTAACTTTCTAACCCTATATCATAAACTATAAGTTGTCACTGAAATATGTCTCATTTCAGTGACTTTTCTCACCACCACACTGATGTGCACAGGGCTGCCTTATTCCCACTAAATGAATGGGCAGTATAAGGACTGAAAAAATCAATTGACTGATGGCTTGTACATATCTGAGGAAGGCCAGGACATGAATTCCATCTTGTTCAATATTCAAAGCAAGTGTTGGTACAATAAATGAATTCAGGAAAACAATAGTGAGTATATGAATTTTTCAGTTCTCTTTTACTATAACACTACTTTAGATACCCAGCATCACCACCTACCAAGGGGTTGACACAATGTTCAAGCATTTTGTGAGGAATCTCTACATATGTAAAAAGATAACAGATATTAATAGAATCTGCAACTTGGAAACTATTTCCATGCTGGAGGTGCAGAGGAGGATAAGGTAAGACTGCAGATTTGTAGCTCAGTCAGCACACACAACCCTCAGGGCATGCTTGGATCATCATCTAACAATCAACTATTGTAACAGTTACTATGAGTCTACTAATACAGTTATTCTAGACTTAATTTAAATACGGTTTATCTGGGGAAGATTAAAATGCAGTTCTCGGGTTGGGAAGGTGGCTCAGTGATAGAGTGCTTGCCTCACATGCATGAAGCCTTGGGTTCGATTCCTCAGCACCAGAGAAGCAGAAAAGGCCAGAGGTGGTGCTGTAGCTCCAGGTAGAGCTCGAGCCTTGAGCTGAAGAGCTGAGGGACAGCGCCCAGCCCAAAGTTCAGAACCAAGACCAACAACAAAAAAAAAAAAAGAAAGAAAGAAAGCAAGAAGGAAAAAAGGAAAGAAGGAAAGAAGAAATGCAGTTCCCCTAGTTCTCTCCTATCATATCTTCTCATTTTAACAGGAGTCTGTGGTATGATAAGGCCACCGAAAATGCTTGTATTAAATCTTAGATATTTTAGCATCTCTATCGTCCTTCCCCATTGAGCCTTTGAAATCTTTTGCAAACAAGTCAGGAGTAGTGAAATATTTTCCATCTTGAGCTTTTATTCCAAGTTTGATTTTAGGATCCTGCATTATAAATTAAGAAAATGAAAATGTACACAAGTGCTTGCCAGGTGAGCCCATTCAGCAGATGTGATGGCATAGGATGATACTATTTCTCTTTTTTTTGTACATTTTTTAATTGTAAAAATGCTGTACAGAAGGGTTACAGTTACATGAGTAAGGTAATGAGTACATTTCCTATGGGACATTGTTGCCTTCTCCTTTGTTTTCCCCCTACCATCCCTTCCCTCCGACCTCCACAACTACACCCCAGCCTGCTCTCCCCTCTCCCACCTTCCTTGTACTATAAATTCCACATTCAGAGGAATCAGCAAAAACCTTCCTTTCCTTTCCACGTGGTCTGATATTCTATTTTCTTCTTCTTACCGAGACCCTTTCACCCCATGGCTTCCCAGGCCCCAAATCACCCTCTGTGACCCGCACTCATCAAACCTCCTTTGCTAATTCCTTTCAGAAAGTTATCTATGCTCTCTGGTGTGCTATTTGTGGTACCATCTGACTTCCCCCACTCCCCATTTTTTTTGCCCATTATTTTATGCTATATTCACCATTGGATTCCATTGCCTTATTCTATCTATAGCTTAATGACTTTAGTCAAAACTCCCCTTTTGAACTTGCACATCTCTATTTTAAAGGGCCTACTTTGAACATCTTCCTTTGACAGGTCCATTGGACTCAGGTCCCATTGTTCTTTATGCCAATTACCACTACCATCAGGCTCCTAGTCTCTAATCTCTCCTCTTGAGAAACATGAGAAGAGACTCCTCCTTCTCTCTCCACCCACATTTAATTGGTCACCAACTCAATTGCTACACTTGCCTTTCAGATAAAAAATAAATTCCAAATACTTGTCATTGGATGATTGGGACTAGGGATACAGCTGAGTAGTAGAGAATTTTCTGGCTAAGTATGAGGTATACTTGAGAGTCCTAGTGATTGATCCAATAAACACAAAAAATGATATATTTAAAATAATAGATGCCTACTTTTTGACTCCCATCTCATTTGTCTTTTCTCTTATCTCATCTATAGAGAATAGATTTTTCCCCCAGCTATGTTAAAGCAGCTTCACAGTTTTACTCAGACTGGGACCTTTGGCTGAAATAACCACCTCCCTTTCCTCACATAAATATCTGCTGAGTGTTATTTATCTTCCCTCTCTCCTTAGGATACTAATGATGTCCCTGTGGCTGACACAGGCAAGTTTCCTGATTCAAAAAAAAGAAGTTTAAAACTTGAGTAGATAAACAGCAATAAATAAATAAGCAAACTTGCAAGAAAGGAAACTTCAAAATGAAAAACAAGCCATCTGTTGCTTTCGAGTTAGTGGCAGGAAGAAAACACTAATTTAAAGAAGTAACAGTAAAGCTGAAATGTAAAATTTAAGAGACTATTTGTCACTGTAGAACTGAAATAAAAAAGCCTTCTGAGCAAAAGAAACAATAAATGTGAATGGCCTGGAGTGATGCATTTAGCCTTCTATTGTTGCCATAAAAATTACTACCGGCTTTGTGACTTAAAACAAAATGTATTTTCTCATAGTTCTGTACACCAGAAATCTAGCATGGCTTTTACCAAGTGAAAACCAGTGTCATCAGACCTTTAAAAAATACTCTAGGAGAGAATTTGTTTCCTTGATTTGAGCTTTAGGAGGTCCTATCTACTTCTTGTCTCATGAGCTCTTCCTCTTCAAGCTAGCAACATGGCATTTCTCATATATGATCTTGCTGCCACAGCCTGAAGAAAATACCTTCTTCTTTGAGGATGAAAATGGATAGATTGATCCCTCCTAAATAATCTAAGATCTTTTCTTTTATCATGCGGTCTTTAAAAACATCTGAATAAGTAGAAAGAAAGCCATTATACCTAGTATTATATATGACTGAACAGAGGGCTTATTATTAAAACTTTATAGTTTGGATGTTTTTCTAATTGCAATGAAAAACAAAAAAGAAAAATCACATGTTTAATTTATTGTTTTCTCTAAAAATATGGGTGATAGGTGAGAAATAATTATAAAGAAGCAAAAGAGAGACGGGAAATAGTAGCTAGTTAGCCCTTGTAGTTCAATAAGAGATTATTATGGCAGACTAGAGGAAGCACAGTGGGATCTAGAATATATTGTGAAAATAAAATTGCAGATGGACTGAGAATGCTATAAAAAAGGGAGAAAACTAAGAAAAACATCTCTTCCAACTAAGTGGATGACACAGCTAAGCACTGCCTCCCTGATAAATCATCTTGCTCCTGAGTAAAAATGACTGTCATGTCTGCAAATGTCTCTAGCATCACACCATCTGTCCACATCTGTTTCTCCTGCCTTCTTGAAAGCTCCCTACATTTAAGACAGTATTTCAATATTTATGGCCAGTATTTATTGTGGAATATATATTATTTGATAAAAATTTAAAAACATGCCAACATGAGTGAGCACAATAATTATGTCATATGTTAACTCTGAAGATGGGGAAAATGATAGTCCTGGTAAATGAAGGAAGGTAACCTAGTAATAGAGCAGGAGGAGACCATGTAACTGATTAGGTGGATCTCTGCATGTCAATCTGCGCTGCTATCTGTTTTATAGATGTGATGCTGTTAGAAGAGACTAAATAACTCACATTTAGATATACATCAAGGAAGGACTAGATCCAGGTTTGGAGCCTTAACTAAACCCAATCTTTTTTCCTGACAAGTGGTTGATGATCAGAGTACTACATAATGCTTATTAGTTTAAAATTTTTCA